CATTAACCAATCTGAACCTCAGTCTCTTCATCTGTAAAATAAGGGATTGAAACTTGAAATCTAAAATCCCATGAGTTTTTATTTAAAAGCACAATAGTATTATTTTAGTGTTCTGTATTTTCCTTCAAGTATTGTTTCAAAGGCACACTTTTCTAATTTTGTGTCTTTGAGAAGTCTAGGTTTCTTGTCAACTCATTATGGTTGAGAAATCTCAAAAGTATTCAAAAATATACTGGGCAAGAGGGTCCCAAACATCGTGGGACATAAACTCAAGCCCAAACATTCAAAATAAAGTGAGAATAGAAATAATATCCAGTCCTTCCAAAAACTACATATGCAAATATATGCTAAATTCTCAGAATACGACTTACTCTAAGAACGCAAGCCATGCTCCTCCCTCAAATAATGTAAGTTAAGAATGGAGAACTTTAGTGGTAAACTCTATCCTATATTTCTATAGCTTAAATAAATAAAAAGAATAAGAAGATAGTAATTATTTTTAATTAGTCTTAGTTCCTTTTTGACTCTCTTCACACCTTCCTTGTCTTAGGTTATACTTTGGGCCCACCAGGGAGATTTTTCCACCATGTAAATTGGCAAACTAGTGGTTTAATTCCAAACCCTGCCAGTAGGTAATATGGTTTATATGTGGAGGGACAAGTGGTGAGAAGGGGGTTTTTAAAAAGGAGTCTTGTCACTTAGCTAATACATTATGTAATAGAAAAGATATAAAGAAATTATTCACTGGCTTGCTGGTTTAAGAATAACTCAAGTCCCTGCACAGGGCATCAAACTGACAGGTGAAATTATCTGTACCCACAGTTGTATTTTAGTTGTTTTTCTTACATTGAAGTCAAAAGAAAAAACACAATCTCCCATTCAGGAAGAAAGAATAAAGAGGTGTTTTTGTTTTCTTTATTGTTTTTGGCGCTGTGTTTTTGACAGCATTGCATGGAAATAACATAGATAGACTTTTTACCTAAGCACCAAGCTCAATATCACACTACAGGTAAAGATTCAGCTCAGACTTGGTCACATTAAGGAAATGAAAACATAGTGTGGGTGAACATAACTCTTTATAAAAGCTAAGTTCTCCCTAGGACTCTATACGTGCCCTGGGTTAACTCTAGAAACAAGCAGTATCCGTAGAGTCATTAATCTTAGAGGAAGAAATATAAACCAGGTGGGGCAGGCTCCTAAGGTCAGCCAGACCAGCCCCACCGAAAGATGGCTAATTAGCTGGCCTGAGTGTCTGCAAACTCTGTTCGATATTAACTTTGGCTCCTGCCAAGCTCAGTTTCAGAACAAAGAATGGCTATTTGTGGCATAGCAGGTTTTCATGTATTTGTTTACCAACTTAGAACATGTTAAAGGTGAGAAGAAATTCCAGAATTCTGAGAGCATAAAGCCATTTATTACGTGCGACGCTCACAATGCCCCATGCCTGGAAGATTCAACACACAGCATTATCAAGTGCTCCAGATTTCTCAAGTCAGGCTGCACCGCTGACATTTCCTTCCGAGCTTCTTCTAAGAACAAGAACGATCAGCCGAGAGCTCATTATGTGCCAGGCAATTTACAAGCATTATGTCTAGTCATCGTTACAACAACCCTATGAGGTCAACACTCTTATTTTACATATGAGGAAACTGAGGCAAGAGTGTCCTATAAGCTGCCCAAGTTCACAGTTAGTGAGTTAGCTACAATCTGAGCTTAAGCAATCAGATGGCCACATTGTCTGCCCTTCTATGGAAACAACATTCATAAGCAATTAAACTAAGAAAATATTAGAATTAACTCACAAATTTGCAAAAAAGAAGAAGACTCTATTGGGTCTTTATTCCATTAAAATCTGAACTCTGTCATCCAAAATGAGTTTGTGAAAAGCACAAATGGTACCAACACACGCCGATCACCAGACTTCCTCCAAGCCAACACCCCTTGGTCTGGGTAATTGCACAACCAGCTGGACTGTTTTGACTGAACTGACCTAACGCTAAACTTATTTTTTTTAATACATTAAATTTAATCCGAGTAAATTAATAAGAAGGAGTGGAGAAGTTCAACTCACCGAGTCAATGGATTAGTTCTTGAATTACATTGACAGGTTGCTTGAATTGTTTGACAAGCTCCTTTGTGCGTGTGGCTGTGTGAGTTGGTGTGTTTTCACAGAACTCACTGCCAGTGCAGTCAAAACTGTGGGTGATGTAGACACAGCCTACAAAGTATCCCGGGAACCCATTAAAGTCAAAGTTGTTTAAATCCACTGAGTTCTGGGGTATTGTGTAAGTATGAATTTTAATTTTACTTATTTTTCTACTTCATATTTTTCCCTTTGCAGAAGGACTAGACATGCTTTTGCAATTTACCATGCCATGAAAAAGAAAGCATTTAAAGATCAGACAAAAGGGTTTATCTATAGCAGTGGTTCTCAACCAGCAGCAGTAACACCTTCTCCTGGGAGCGTCTTAGAAATGCAAATTATCAGCCCACCCTAGACCCACTGATCAGAAACTCTGGGAGAGGGGCCAGCAATCTGTGTTTTAACAAGTTCTGCAGGGAGTTCTGAGTCCCTGGGTGGTACAAAAGGGTTAACACCCTTGGCTGCTAACCCAAAGGTTGAAGGTTCCAGTCCAGCCAGAGGTGCCTGGGAAGAAAGGCCTGGAAATCTACTTCTAAAAAATCAGCCACTGAAAACCTTGTGGAGCACAGTTCTACTCTGACACACATAGGGTCAGCATGAGTTGGAATCGACTGGGTGGCAACTGGTGGGGAGGAGGTTCTGATGGTCTCTCAAGGTTGAGAGCCACTGCCCTAAAGGAACAGAAAGATAACAGTACCAGGAGCCTCAAACAGGCATTTTTCTTCCAGTGAGCACTGAAAGGAGCCCTAGTGGCTTTGTGGTTAAGCATTTGGCTGCTAACCAAAAGGTTGGTAGTTCAGATCCACCAGCCACTCCTTGGAAACCCTATGGGACAGTTCTACTCTGCCCTGTAGGGTCTCTATGAGTCAGAATCGACTCCATGGCAATGGTTTTGGGAACACTTAAAAGGAGGTCCTAAGGACATTCTGTTGTGCTTTAAAGAACACTATCACAAGTCTTAAATTATGTCCTTTTGTGTGTTTTTAATCCCGTTTTAATCTTTAGCAGTTCAAGCAAGAGTTTAGGTCAGACTGAACTAGCCAAGTAGACACCTGTAGACTGGTAAAGGTGGATCCCTATAGATTCATACAATTAAAACTATCAAAACACCTAGAATCCAAAATGGTCTGTCTAGTTGTACTAGTCAGCTTTATGAGTTTAAATTGGATCAACAGTGTAGTGAACTAATTATTTACTTGGGAATTAGCTATAACAATACAAAGCACTCAAATCCACTGAATGTAATTTTTTTTTCCAAGTAGCACAGAAATGCCTGAGCAGTCTTTTCAAGATTGGGAAGTTTGCCTTAACCAAATAAAATATGCCTTAGGAAGGAAAGATTTTCAGGACCACATAAAAAGATGTGAAACATTATCAGTCATTAAAAAAAAAACCAAACCTGTTGCTGTCAAGTCCATTCTGACTCATAGCAACCCTACAGGACGGAGTAGAACTGCCCCATAGGGTTTCCAAGTCTGTGCTCTTTATAGAAGCAGCAGACTGCCACATATTTCTCCCGCGAAGTGGCTGGTGGATTCGAACCGCCTCCCTTTTGGCTAGCAGCCTAAAACTTAATTACTTGCCATCACGGCTCCTTTATTAGTCATTACCAAACCAAAAAACCCACTGCTGTCAAGTCCATTCCTACTCATAGCGACCCTGTAGGAGAGGGTAGGAGAGGGTAGAACCACCCCATAAGGTTTCCAAGGCTGTAAATCTTTATGGAAGCCGACTGCCACGTCTTTTCTCCTTTGGAGTGGCTTGTGGATTCCAACCACCGACCTTTCGGTTAGCAGCCCAGTGCTTTAACCACTGTGCCACCAGGGCTTCTCATATTAGTCATTAGGGAAATGCAAATCAAAACCACAATGTGATAACCATCTCACAGCCACTAGGATAGTGATTATCAAAAAAAGGGAAAATATCAAGTGTTCGTGAGGATGTGGAGAAATTGGAACCCACATCCATTGCTGATGGGATTGTAAAATGGTGCAGCTGCTGTGGAAAATAGTTTGGTAGTTCCTCAAAAAGTTAAACATAGAATTACCATATAACCCAATAATTCCACTCCTTGGTTTATACCCAGAAGAACTGAAAGCAGGGACTCAAACACATATGTGTACACCAGTGTTCACTGCAGTGTTATTCACAATAGCCAAAAGGTGAAACAACCCAAGTGTCCATCAACAGATGACCAGCCAAACAAAATGTGGTACATACATAAAATGGAATATTTTTCAGTAATAAGAAAGAGTAAAATTCTAATACATGCTACCACATGGGTGAACCTTGAAACTATTACACTGAGTAAAATAAGTCAGTGGCAAAAGGATAAATATTGTATGATCCCAATTATATGAAATATCTAGAATAGGAAAGGGTATAGAGACCAAAGTTTATTACCAGGGGCTGGTGGAAAGGGAGAATGGGGGTTTATTGCTTAAAGGTACTGAGTTCCTGTTTGGGGTGATGAAAAGGTTTGGAAACAGGTAGTGGTAATACTTGCACAACATCGTGAGTGTGAATAATGTTACTGGATTGTAACTTGAAAATGGTTAAAATGAAAAATTTTATGTTGGGTGTATTTTAAGACAAGAAAGGAAGGAAGAGAGGGAGGGAGGGATGAGAGATGGAAAGTGGGAAGGAAGGAAGAAAGAAGAAAGGAAAGGAGGAGGAAGGAAGGGGAAGGATGGAGGGAAAGAAGAAAAAGAAGGAGGGAAGGAAGAAAGGAATGTCATGCCCTCGTCACCCCTGACTGATGTCAGGGCAGGCTGTCTGAGATTAGTAGAAGGGGGACTAATGCAAAGCTTCCCAGGAGGCTTCACACTAGTTACGAGCATCTCTCTTTGTGACCTAGCATGGAAGGTTCCATTGTGCACCTGCCCCAGATCGTGGCTCTGAAGAATAAATACAAGGCTTACCTCTACATAGACGAGGCTCACAGCATTGGGGCCGTGGGCGCCACCGGCCGAGGTGTTGTGGAATTCTTTGGAATGGACCCTCGTGATGTTGATGTGTTGATGGGCACATTCACCAAAAGCTTTGGCTCCTCAGGAGGCTACATAGCTGGAAGGAAGGTAAGAGAGCATCTCTTGTGTCTGTGTAAAACCTGAGACCCCTGGGGATGTGGTCTGCAGGACTTCTCTGAATTCCTGAGAGCTTCAGTTCAGTTCACCACTTTCTTGAGCTCCATGGTTTAGCTACAGTGGATTTTCAGACAATTCAGGCCCAGAACGTCCAGGAGTTCACCCTGTAATAGTAAAGAGGGGCATGTGCTGAGTAATTACATTCTTATAAAATGACACAGATAAAGACTTCGTGCAAAGAAGAGGGGTAAGTAACTCTGCAGGGCACGATAGTGTCCAAGAAGTCTTCTGGAATGAATGTCAGTCTTTTAGACAAATGACTGGGGGTGGGGGACTGTTAGATTTCTGAAGCAGGGAATAATGTATACCAAGCCACAGGAAGGATAAGGGGATGTTAGAGAAGTGTAAGTAGTTTGGCTTTCGTGGCATGAAAAACACAGAAAGGGTAATAGCAAAAGTAGGCAAAGGTCAGGGATTCAGGAGCTTGACCTTGTGCCACAAGTTTTAGGCTTTAAGAGTTTTAACGAAGATAGTGACTGTATCAGAGGTGTGCTTTTAAGTGATTTTCTGTGCAAAATAATTTTCTCCCACAATTTTGGCTAAGCCATAGGTCAAATCATCGTCTAACATCTAAAAATTCTGACCAAGTGAGCTTTATCCCTGTTATTCTAATGCCAACATCATCAAGGGAGTTGCTAATATAAAACAACCATCAATAACTGTTTGAAAGAAATTAATAAGAAGAGGGAAGGGAAGGAGAAACAGAAATATATATATATGTATATATAAGCCTGGGTTTGAAGGATAAAGGAGCCAGTTATCTCAGCCTCTGCCCCATTATATAACGGTCTCATCCAAATCCTGACCAGTTACCTCATAGAAGCCTACACCTGTCCCAAAGAGACTGTGTGAAAGTGACATGTCTCTGCCTAGGAGGGGACAGCGGGGCCCAAACCAGCTCCTGTAGGTAGCATCAACAGCCTATCTAAAATTCCCAATCCCAGCAGGAACAAGAGTTCAGACTCCCTGTAAACCAGTTAGACAAACCAGGTTGCACAGCAGAAAACAGTGCCATCATTGAAACTCTGTGATTTAAAACAACGGATTTCAGGTTAGCCACTCACCCTGCCAAGAGACACACAGATGCTTCAGATGTCCAGGGTTTTCAGAGGTCTTTACTCTTCACTAAGCCCCATTCTCTTGGGAGCTCAAAGCATTGTTTCTCATCTTCCCTCCAGTATCCTGGGGGAATTAGTTGGGTAATGCTAAAAACAGAGGGGATGCCTAGGCTCTTAAACAAAAGTCAGCTAAATTTGAAGAAAGGTTAAATATTCCGTTCCTTGCTCCTGTCAAAGCAGTGGGATCAGAGGGTCTCAAATTTAGGGGCTCCCTTATCCAGGCTACATGGCTTTTGAGCTTGTGGTTTTCTGATTACTTTAACAGCAGCCTGAGCTACAAAATTTTTAAGCAAGTGTTGCTCTGGTTCCCGAACCAAAGACGCCTGAGTAAACTGAAGCAAGTGGATCTTTGAAATGTCAAATTTGGTGGCTGTCACATTTTTCTCTGAGTTTCTTAGTTGGATAGCCACTTTAAGCAAAGGCTCAGGAGGAGTCTGAAGGAAGGGCCAGCTCTCCTTCTCCAAACCAAAGTCACTTCCCTTGCAGTATTTTTAAAGTGTATTGGCTCTTCACTATGGAGCCTCTGTTTATTTGAGGTAGTTACTGAGCAATTGCAAAAATTATTATAATTTACATTCGTCGATATGCAAAACAAGTATGTAAATCTGTTCACTTTCTTGCCCCTCAAAGTACTCATTAGTGCATACTTGGATTCAGACAGCTGCATCATTTCTCCCTCGTACCCCTCATCCTCTTCTTTCCTTCCCTCTCTTCCTCCCTGCTCGCCTCCTCCACATTACACTGCAGTCCCCGTATGGACCACTAGATGGCGGCAAGAATTACTTTTTGACAGACACCCCCAGCTCTGAGATAAACCAAAGCCGTTTCTGTCAAGTGGATTCCGACTCATAGCGACCCTATAGGACAGAGAACTGCCCCACAGGGTTTTCAAGGAGCGCCTGGTGGATTCAAACTGCCGACCTTTTCGTTAGCATTCATAGTTGTTAACCACTACACCAGCAGGGTTTCCACAGCCCTGAGAAAGCAAGATGCAAAACCTAGAAAATACTGGATCATTTTCAAGACACGGAGGATAAGCAGGATATAAGAGGGTGCTTGAGAAAGTCTCTGCATATGTTGTTGCCTGAGGATTTAAAAACTGAGCAGTCAGATACACACCTATTTGGAATGGTTTTGATAAGGCTATAATGCTGTTGTTAGTTGCTGGGGGTTGATTCAGACTCATGGCAACCCCATGTGTGCAGAGTAGAACTGTGCTCCATAAGGTTTTCATGGCTATGATCTTTCAGAAGCAGATCTCCAGTCCTGTTTTCCAAGGTGCCTCTGGGTAGGTTCGAACCCCAATCTTTCAGCTAATGTCAAGCACTTAACCTTTTGCGCTGCCCAGGGACCCCTGAGGCTATGCTAACTCCAGAGAAACTATATTTTTCTCCCAGCCTAATAAGCCCATGGCTTAATGGACTATATGTATATCTGCTCCTTTGCTATTTACTTTTTCTGGTGTCAGATCTGCAATTCAGCTCCGAATTTGGTTTTCAAACAAGTTTGCACTAACGTAACTGCTGGCAATAGTCAAGAAGTGATTCCATTGAAGAATCATGGTTTGAAATTTTGAGAACCAATTTGTTCTTGGGATTTAGGTTTTATAAGTTTAGGTTTTCATCTTTCTCTTTGCTTCAATTTAAATCATAGTTTTTATTCTCCTAAACTTTGAATAATTTTGTGAAGATTTTTAAACTATGCTTTTTAACTGAAAGGAGATAAGACTGGGAAAATGTCATTACTGCACAATATCGAGGATTTTTTACTAATGGATACAAAAGCAACAAAATTAACCCTAAAAAGAGGTTAAAGTGCATACCCTCAGATTTTAAATTTTTCTGAAACCCTAAGTAATTTCAGTTTCACTGTGCTAATGGTGCTTAATGAATCTTAAGATTTGGAAATAATCACTTGGTTCCAAAAATCTAAATTAAAAAAAATACATGTCTGGCTCAACTCTCTTTTTAAAATTACAATGTCAATATTTGTGATATCAAACCAAACCAAATCTGTTGCCCTCGAGTCAATTCCAATTCATAGCAGCCCTACAGCTGCCCCATACGGTTTCCAAGGAGCACCCGGCGGATGCGAACTGCCGACTTTTGGTTCTTAGCCATCACTGTTAACCACTATCCCACTAGGGTTGCCATACTGGTGATAGAGGGAGTATATTCCCAATAACAGTGTTTAGGATGCTTGGCTCTAACATCCCAATAGCAGTGTTTAGGAGGCTCTAGAAATCTTTGTGGAGTAGGTCAAGGTTAGAGCTCTAGATATTAGCAACCAGATGAGTCAGGTAGGAAAAAATATTTGGCAACAAACAAGGAGAGGAAAAAAAAATTGCCTTGGTGCTAAGATACCTCCACAGAGAGTAGAGCTGCTGCTTTGGCCCTGGCCTTCCCCTCATAAAATGTTCTACAAATTCATCTCTGCTTATGGGAGTTTACTGCCCTGTGTGCACCCTTCTCTTCCCATCTTGATGAAACTGCTCAGTCTCTCAAGCACCAGCAAGATTTTGCTGCCTTTCTCACTCTGAGTTTGGAGCTGCTTTAGATGAGCTGTGAATAGACCAGCCTGGAGCCCTCTGTCCTTTCAAGACGTTTGAAGTGAAATGTCAGGTCATTACTTCTTTCTACCTGTCAGAGCCCCATGCCATGAACAGCTTCTTTGAAGAAAGCCTGAGCTGATGGGGCTAGGTTTCTTATTTTAATTTTTTTTTAAATTTATTTATCCAGTTGCTGAGGCAATATGGTCAACACGGCAGACTCCAGTTTCTGTGGACCAAATTTTTCTCTATTCCTGGACCTTGTGTCCTCTTGCAAGCCGGGTGCTAACCACTGGTTTTCACAGCTTCCACAAACAAACTTGAGGCTTGTCAATACATGAAATAAAGGCAGCCCTCATGATTGATTAGCTGTGTGGCTGGAATTCTGGAGGAGGAAATTCTCGCAGGGCAGCCAGGGTTGGAGTGAGCATTAGCTCCAGAAGCCTGCACACCAGGCCAAGGCAGGCCCCTCACAGAAGGCAGCTCTGCCCTGTGGGCTGGCCCTGGCTGCATTTAACAGCCCTTTGAAGTAAATGAGGGTTGTGGAATGAGTATCAAGATGTTTATTCTAAGACCATCCTGTCTGAGTTCCTCCAGAGAAGCCACCCTTGCCCTTGAACTACAGGCCTATGGATACAGAAAATAATCAGGATTTCGAACTTACAAATGGACTTGGAAACCTCAGAATGAAGAGACTTCTAACCCACCCTGAAGGAAGACACAACCCAGACTCACCTTGCAAAAGACCAAAGTCAACTCTTAATTCTTGGCTCTTGGCACCTAGTCTGGGAACAAAAGGAGAGAATCAAGGCTTTCCTTGATGCTCTCCAGAAGTTACTCACAGAGCCCCACTCTCTGAGCCATGCTTGCAAATTAACTCTGTCCATAAATGCAGACTTTGGGAGGAAGTGGGCTCAGTCTAAAACATAAAATTGTGGGCAAGACAGTCTTCAGGTTAAACGGGAGTGATATCCCACTGATAAGATACTTACCCAAACTAAGAGTGCTCATGACCTTAACTTCATGAAATTTCTCAATTTATGAAAGAAAATTGGGGAATGGTGACACTGGGTAAAGAGCCTTTTCAGGAATCAAAGGAAGCTTTGCTTTGTTTCCTCAGCTGATCTTTATCAGAAACGCCTCAAGACTAAGTGGATATTGCTACGTTTGTTCCTAAGAATGCAGCTTAGTACCCCCTATTTCTTCAGGGAATTCCTGGGTAGTACAAAAAGTTAATGCACTTGCCTACTAACCAAAACATTGGAGGTTTGAGTCCACCCAGAGGTGCTTTGGAAGAAAGTCCTGGCAGTCTACTTCCAAAAAATCAGCCATAAAGCACAGTTCTACTCTGACACACATGGGATGGCCGTGAGTCAGAATCGACTCAATGGCAACTAGGTTTTTTTTTTTTCCAATATCCTTTAAAGACCCTCACCATCCTTCTCTGTCCCTGAAACTCCTTTCCTTTCCATTAGACCATAAGTTTTACCAAGTCCCTTCTAAGTACTCACCACTATGGACTATAAGAGAGGTGAGTAACTCCGCCCCTGCCCTCAAGGAGGTTTCAGTCTCTTTGGAGCAACAAGAGTAATAGACATGAAACATTTTTAGAATAATGTGATTCAATCTGTGGTTTAGTACTATATAAACTTCAGTATATCAGGAATTAGGGAAAAAAGGGAGTAATTCCTGTGGATTAGGGAAAGAACCACAGGGTAAGTAGAAGTTGAGTTGATCCTCTCTGAGTCCCTCCCAAAACAATAGGGTTATTGTGAGACTTAAATGTGTTAATACATGTAGAGTTCTTAAAACAGAGCCCCAAGCAACAATGAATACCAGCTATGGTGTTAGCTTCTAGCCCTATCTGTCCCTTCAGAATCCTTCAATCTGCCTCTTTTTCCCTTCTTTCCATTTCTACTGCAACCACCTCAACAAGGATGGAGGAAGAGCTGGAACGGAAATCTTCGGTTTGATGTTTGGGTAGACTAATGAGGGTTAGTTATACAACCTTAGTACATTACCTTTTGCAAAATGAGGAAGGTGGAATAAAGACATTTTGAGGGCTTTTTATATTTTGCTACCCTCAAAATATCTCAGTTCTAAGAATCTTTGATTGGCAATCTATTAAAGATAATTATCAACTACATCAGGTATCCACTATGTATCAGACACTTTACTAATATGTATTAATGCATTTAATCCTCATAATGACTCTAAGGTAGGTATTACTATTATCTCAAAAAAGTAAGACACAGGTTCAGTAATTTGCTCCAGGTCACATAACAGAGTCACAATTTGAACCTAAGCACTCAGGTTCCAGAGCCTGTGCTTGTAACTCCTGGCTCAAGCCTCCTCTTAAGGGGACAACTCTTTGTCTCAGAAGCACTAGCTTTTCTCTCTACTTCCAATTGACTTCTCCACTCTTTGCCCATAAGGCACCATCCTCATTCCTAATTTTAGCACATGCCCATGCCTTTCCTCTTCCTCTTCATCCATCCAGACCTACCCGTCCTTTAAGGCCAGATAATTTCCCTGAAACATCCACTTTCTGATGCTGATCCACATGAACCTCCATCATCTTGATTCCTTCACCCCACCCTACTCTTCTGCTTGGCTCTCCCAGCACCTTGCGGGGAGACCTTCACTCTCAACATAAAAGAAAATCTCTGCTGCTGGTCATGGACGAGCACTGAATGTAGAACTATGAAGGACAGCTTGGCTGCAGCTACTCTGGAAAATGGCCACCTCTCTCTTTGCAATGCTCCTGGGTTTCCTAAAGTGAATCCTGAAGGCTGTGCAGCCAGTACCTAAAATCAGGCGATTAACCTACACATACTCTTCAAATTTGGTGAAAGTCCACCCAACAGTTTTTATGAGATTCATTAAACAAAAGAATATACAGAAACTCAATTTTAATTATATAAATGGATAATGGATGCCAGGATCTAGCCTGTGGTCCCTTTCTGTCCCCCTCCTCTCTTGGATACCAACACATATCCACATCGTAGCCCAAAGTAAGTCCTCCTTACATACTGGTTGGGAGAAAAGATGAATGGGAAGCGAGGAAGGGAGGGAGGAATAAAAGACAGATTTAGAATGAAGAGGAAGAGAAGATTTAGAATAGAGGATTTGAAATGAAAATAGGGAGGGAAAGCAGGAAGGAAAGGAATAGAAGGAAAGGAAGGAACAAAAAAACAAAGATTTTGAAATGAAGGAGTCGAAGAGGGAGAAAGGAAGGCAGGGAAGAAGGAAGAGTGGGAGAGAGAAGGGATTTAGAATGAAGGATGCATTGAAGGAGGAAAGAAGGACAGAAATGGAGAATGATTGGTTCCTCCCATGGGTCAGGGTGAGGGATCATGTCATTGGTAACACCTTCACCCAACGCCCTGTGAAGCAGGCAACCTTCTTCACTGAGGAGGTGAAATATGAATCTTTAAAGCATTTGCGAACAACCACGCTCCACCCATACCCCAAGAGAGAAGGAAAAGTGAGGGGCAGGGTGCAGTCCCAGGATCTGGGTGGGAATACATATGTTCAGAGGTGGCAATTGATATAGCCACTGAAGGAGGGGAGAAGGGGATGGGCCTACCCAAAGCAGAGAATCCCTCTTGGGGAATATAGGTCAGTATTTCTTTTCCACTTCCTGAGAGCTTCTCCCAGATCACCTTCGTGTGGGAATTATTGGGGAAGGCACCTAAGTGGCATTCTAAGCTCTCTCACTATCCCTCAGAAAGAAAGTGGCTGGTCCATTACAGGGCCCACTGCTAATGCAGAGAGCTGTTATCAGCCCATTAGCTTTTCTGCATTGCATCCTGAGGGTGCCAGGCTGTGTGCCAGTACAGGCGGACCTACAGATGGTCTGCCCAGCAGGGACTGAGCAAACCCAGATGCCAGCCCCGAGGCCCTCCCCATTGTGGTGTTAGGCTATTGGAGCTTCTTTTGGGCTCTCTGTTGATTTACCTGGGAGTTTTCTTTGGGCTTCAGGAGTCAAGCATACAGGTGAAGAATTGTTCCTACCACTGAAGATCAAAATTACGTAGTGGATCAGCGCTCCAAAGAGTATTGAACAAAAATTCCAGTAGTTCTCAACTGCCCAAGGCATCAACTCTAAACTCTTTGCATTTGTGTTTATCTGGTCCTAACCTACCGTTTGGTTCAATTTCCCACTAACCTCTACTCTAACTGTCATTCGCTGTTCTCCAAAAATGCTATGTTGGTTAGCTTTTTCTGTTTAACAAACCACCGCAAACTTAGTGACTAAAAACACCACCATTTATTTAGCTCATAATTCTGTCCATCAACAATTTAGACTGGGCTCAGATAGGCAGTTCTTCTGGCCACAGCTGAGTTTGCCCTTGTGTCACTTCACAGTCAGTTGCCAGGTGAGCTGGGGCCTGGCTGGCCTAGGATGGCTGCCCTCAGCTGTGAAGGCTCATCTTTACTCCACCTGGCTCTCATCCTCCAGCCAGCTAGCTAAGGCTCGTTTACATGGCAGCTGGGAAGGGTTCTCAGAAAACAAAAGCACTCAAGGCCTCTTGAGGCCTAGGCTCAGAACTAGTGCACCATCACTTCTGCCACATTCTATTGGTCCAAGCAAGTCACAAGGCCAACCTCAGTTCATCATAGGGGCTGCATAGTTGAATTGCAGAAGTGCAGGGGTACAAAGAGGGGAAGAATCACAGCCATTTTTTTTTGCAAGCAATCTACGATACATGTCATCTGCTTTTCTACTTCCTCCATCTTTGTTCAGCCTCTTTCTTCGGACAACGGCCCCCAAAACACACACACGTATACAAATTTTCTTTTCCTTTTTCTCTTCATTCATCAAGGCGTAGTCAATTCCACTACCTGACTGGAGTCTTCCCTGATCCAGTTAAGAGGGCCCTCTTTCTTTCCTCTCTAATCTTGCAGCCCCGTTGCACATATTAGTTTGCATGTACTGTTACTTTTCCTACTGTTGCTTTTCCATGGCACAATCTTAGATAATATTCTTAAGGTCAAGAGCCACATTGTGTATTCTTTGAATACCCCTGAATGCTAAGCCAGTGTTCACACATAGTAGGTGATCAATAAATACTTGAGTCATCATTTTTCCTTACATATCTTGTTTTGCCTTACAGACTTCAACTCCAAACTTACAGAATTCCACCCTTGCCTAACTTCTAGGTGATTGTGGGTGAGGCTGGGAATAAAATGATAGAAAAAATAAATAGTTTGGTGATGTCCATTGAAAACCAGACTACATTCATCTTTTGAGATGCTAGAATTAAATGTCTTTTGCTATGATCGATGGGAAAGGGAGAAGATGTGATTCTCACCACCAAGACTGAGATTGACATTCTTTCTGTTTGGGTTTCCCCTTTATTTAAGGACCTTGTGGATTATTTACGGGTTAACTCACATAGCTCTGTTTACGCCACATCCATGAGTCCCCCGATATCAGAGCAAATCATCAGATCAATTAAAGTCCTCATGGGAATGGATGGGACCACACAAGGTAAGAGGTTCAGCTGTGAGCACAGCTCTGACAAGCTCTTTTCCCAGACCTCTCTCTGTTTTCCTTATGTCCCACCAATCTCCCCCCATCTCAAATACACTCTTTTATATAACCCAGTGTATAAATCCAATCATGTGCTAAATATACTAGAATTGGTGTCAGCACAAAAGAAACCTTTCTAAAGCAAAGGAAACTTTCAAATTCAACTCAATGTGATCAGCAAATTGGATAATATCGTGTGTTAAAATGAAGCATATAGAGGTGTGTGTTTGCTTGGGGCTGTCAGTTGTGTTTCTCTGAGATCAAACTAGTCAATTTAATATTTCTGTTATTTTAATACTTTTTTTTTTTTCCAGCCAGAGGTTGAGGAAGGGAAATCCATTACTGACCATTTGAGAATAGATGGCCAAAACACACACAGTGATAACTATCCACAATTGCCTTGACATTGAGTCACCAGAGATAGAGGGTGCTACATTGTTCATCCCAAATGAACTTAATCTTGTTTCTAAGAATGGTTTAATCAATGAATGCCTCTTGGAACTCTACTTCTACTTTTCAGATAAAGTTTATGAGCTTCTTCTACATATCACACACACAGGTGGGAATACAGTGATAAGTAAGGTAGCTTGCTGTGAGTCAAGCTAACAGGCACATTTATGGAAGTAGCAAATTATCCTGACCCCAGAACCGGTCACGGTGCTATACAATCTACCCCCACCTCCAGCTGACTTTCACCCCCCATTGTCTAGTGCAACCTTCCAAGCCTACTATTTCAATAGAAGTATGTAGAGACCCATCATTTTTTAATTTTATTGAAGCAGAAGAATACTTTATCCATGTACAAATTTTACTCAGAAGCCTACTACACAGAAGCAGGGCTGGTCTAGGTGAAGTAGTGTCTCCACCCACTCCCATACTGATAGCCTTTAACACCCTTCTCCTGAGCCCTAGTGCTCCCCGGACACTGGTTTGAAAACCTCTAGGATAAACCTTTCCTTTTTCACTCCATCAAGAAAATGGCCTGCAAGGTGACTTTTTTCCCATCATGTAAAAGGCAGTGAGTAGATTGATTGATCCCTAAGGTCATTCTGGGTTTGTCTTTTGGGTTTTATGATTCTGTGTTCAATGGTTGAATGGTCTGTCTGAAAAGGAAATAAGAATCCAGTCTAGAGAGGCAGCATAGTGCAATGGTTAAGGTCAGAGACTCTGAAGCCAAGTCCCTGGGTTCGACACCCCTTGATGCTGCTTGCTAGCTGTGTGGCCTTAGGCAAGCAACTTGTGTGTTCAATCCTGAACAAGTTACTTAACTTTTCTGTATTCAGTTCTCTGAGCTGTAAAATGAGGAAAAAAATAGTATTTATGAGTTACTATTATTATGAAAATTAGGAAAATTAATCCATGAAAGATATTTAAAATTGTGTCTGGAAACAATTATATAATAAGCATTATATATTGCTTGCTACTATTATTTCCTATTATTCTTGAGATGTTCAAGAAGTATTTAGACTGCTTCTCAGGGATGCTATAAAAAGGATTCTTACTGTAGAAATGAAGTAGGACTAGATGTCCTCCAAGGTTCTGTATTAGTCGGGAAAAGCTAGGCTATGCCACCATAACAAATAAACCCTGAAAATCTCAGTTGCTTAACATAATCAAGGTTTATCTCTTGCCCACACCAAGTCTAATAGAATCAGACAACTCTCAGGGCAGCTCTCCTTTATCTGCGTGGGAACTCTGGCTGCTTCTAGCTTGAGGCTTGGCCATCTCAACTCATGGCCTCTATAGTGGTCACCATGGTGGAGAAAGAAAGATAGCATCATTGATCTGGAAGTGATACTTGTTACCCTGCTTACAGCCCATTGGCTAAAACTAGTTACATGGCAGTTCCTGTGGGGGAGGGAGGGCTAAATTAAGGGAGAACATGGATATTGGATAAGCAAATCTCTTTCAGCCTTTTAAAAGTGATGCTAGAAATAGAGCTGTGTCCATTCCTACTTGAGCACCTTCTTACTGATCTGAAACCAGGTCTTCTCACAAAGCCATATTAATAGCTTCTTGAACTTCATGTATTTCTTAGTTGAAAATCAATTTGGGATTCAAGCTAAAATGCAAGTTAAGTATTGACCTATAATGTCCAGACTTATGCTTTCATCTTATTTTAAAGATAAGTGACTAGGGAAATGTTATTCTGAAAATTAGCCTATGTTGCAACAAGGATTTTTGCTAATTTCTTAAACCATTTCATGGATATATTACCAGCATCATTGATTTAAATGGACTCAACTTTACAATCATTGCCTTCCCTCCTCTGGATTGGCCTGTCACCTCATCACAGACAGAACTCAGTCCGTTTATCTGACCCCAGCTGAAGACTTGCAGAGAGATTTAAAGATGTAATAGTTTGTCTTTGAGTGGTCCTCTATTATCAATTTTCTTGGGAGACATTTTCTTCATTCTCTCTTGTAGCCTTATAATTACAGAATTATTTTGTTACTTTTTTGAACTTCCCAATTAAAGTTCGTCACTTTCTTCACGTTACCTTAGGAGGGAAAAAAATAAAACAGAGAATGCTATATGTACAGTATTATTTTCTCGGAGTGAAGATAGGAGAACCAGTGAGAAAGACAGCATAATTTCTTTTCAAAGGCATGAACAACAGTAGAAAAGAACATTGACAGGATCATCAGCCAACTTTCAGGTGGGGTGGCCTGACACATCTTTTGAAGAATTCAAAGGCACACAGTGAATTATCGGGCTGACCTCATTTACGACAATGCCTGCTTTAAATAAAGGGGACAGATTGGGAAGATTATATTAGCTCACCCGTTTCTGCTTAGATAAACTGGCTTTCAGGATGAAGTTGCCCAAAGCTCAAAGAGATGCACTGTGGTCATGTGAGAGCTGCCTTACAGGGTCTGAGAAAGAGGAGCCCACCTCTGAGCCTTCATCCTGGGCCCACTGGCTGCAACTGTGATTGGAGCCTTTGAAGGCTTTGTTTCAAGTTGAGATTGGGGAGCGGTTGGCCAGATCTGTTCCTTGATGAATGTCTTCACTTTAATCTGCAATGCAAAGCCATAGGCTTCAAAGAAAGGCAAGCTACAGGAATAAGGTCAGTGCTTCTTTGATGCCAAGGTTCTAAGATGAAATAGCAGTCCCGGTGAAACGACAATGTTTGTGCACAAACAGCCATCTTCCCTCTGCAGCCGGGCTGCTCACAGAGTTAATGCACATAGGCTGAGAGCTTAAGCTGCACGTGCATTCCATATGCACCGAGGCCCTTTTCATCTCCTGGCCTGTCACTCCATGCAGTACAGCAAGCCCAAAGTGGAGATTCGATTTCTCCAATCTAATGGATGTTGGGTGGTCCCCTCGACCAAACCAGTGCTGCAAGCCCCTAAAGGGCAAGAAATGTGTCTTGAATTAATTTGGCATTCCTATGAGTGTCAAACCCAGTGCTCAGCTTAATAAATATGTCATGACTCGACTTCCATCTCACCAGCCTGCTAGATTTCAGGTCAGTGTTTATGCTGCATAAGATCGCAGGGATGTTTATGTCATAGGACTGGGAGCCAGGAATCAGCTCCACACCGATTGTGGCAGCTGAAAGGACCACTCAGCTATTGGGGCCTCTCAGTGATTGCTATTACTTTTGAAAAGGTCCAAAATGATTGTTACTCGGTCATTTTCTTCATCTAAACATGGCACAAGCAACCACAGGAGGGTGAGCCCCAAGCCATACAAATGACTGCCCTAAAGAAAGCATTGTCAACAGCTGTCTTACTATTATTTCGTTTAAATCTCTGATGCACATTTTTCTATTAATCAGTCAACATTCTCTTTGAACTCCCAATCCTGCCCCTGCCTTGCCCCATTTCCCTAACTCTGGGTAACCCTCCTCTTTACAAAGAAAATAGAGGTTATGTCGTGTGGATGGTTAAGGGTGTGTGACGGACCGCATGGGGGCCAGTCCCCAGCATGCCATTTGCTAGTTCCATGGCTGCTAGTTCTAATCCAAGATGATTAACCTCAGTTCCGTCCTCATAAATTGGAGCTGTAGTGAGGGTTAAACGATGTTTTATATATATATATATATATATATATATATATAAAATGCACTTAGCACAATGCCTGATAGATAGTCTTATTCTTATTAGCTGCCATCGAATTGGCACTGATTCATGGTGCTGAGCTTATGTATAACAGAAGGAAACATTGCCCAGTCCTGTGCCATCTTCATGACTGTTGGTATATTTGAGTCCATTGTTGTGGTTACTGTGTCAACCCATCTCGTTGAGGGTTTACGTCATTTTTCCTGGCCCTCGACCAAACATGATCTCCTTTTCTAGCAACTGGTCCTTCCTGATGATGTGTGCAAAGGAAGCAAGTCAAGTCTCTCCATCCTCACTCCTAAGGAGCATTCTGGTTGATACATAGTAAGCACTCAATAAAAATTATCAGTTACTATTATTTTAACTCCTCTGCTTTCTTCCCTTCCCCCTCCAATTTTTTCAATAGCTTTTACCCATCTTGAATTTTTCTCTTCTCTCAGACCTTACACCTACTCCACCAGCAAATCCTACAGTACTTCCTTTGACATATATCCAGAATCTGGTCACATCTCCCCATCTCCACCACCACCTCCATCAATTTCCACTTAAATGAATAGAGCAGCTTCCTAACTATTCTCCCCACTATCCTTGGCTTTTTATAACTTTTTCTCCACACAGCAGCCAGAATCATCTTTTTAAAAAAAAAAATTTAACTCAGACCATGTCATCCCTCTGCTCAGAACTTTCCATCAACTTCTCTCACTCAAAGTAGAACCCAAACTGTGTCTTTCAAGGCTTCTCATGATATGGTCTTCCATATTTTCTGCCATTCCCTTGCTCAGTCCACTGCAGACAGCTGACTTCCTTAATTTTCCTAAAATATAGCACAGCTCCTCCCAAAGGGCCTTTGCACTTGCTGGTCCCTCCAGCACTGAGCAATATCTGCAT